CCTGTAGTTCCAGCTACTTGGAAGGCTGAGGTGGAAGGATCGCTGGAGCCCAGCAGGTCGAGGTTGCGGTGGCCGGGAGTGGCCACTGCACTCCAGTCTGGGCGACAGTGGGACTCCAACTCAAAAAAAAAAAGGCTCATAGGAAATACTTTAAAAAATTTCTTTTTAAGTTGGGGTCTCACTCTGTCACCTAGGCGGGAGTGCAGCATCATAAGCATGGCTCACGGCAGCCTTGACCTCCTGAGCTCAGATGATCCTTCTGCCTTAGCCTCCTGAGTAGCTAGGACTACAGGTGCATGCCACCATGCCTGGCTACTTTTTAAAAAAATTTTTTGTAGGGACGAGGTCTTGCTGTGTTGTCTAGGCTAGTCTTCAACTGCTTAAGCAGTTCTCCTGCCTCAGCCTCACGAAGTGCTAGGATTATAGGTGTGAACCACCATGCCTGACCAAGAAATATTAAAATTTAATATTTAATAATATTTTTCCATGTGTTCTGTAGGACTTCCCCTTATTCTGTCTCCTCCTGGGAATCCCCATTCTTCCTGGATAGTGAGCGAGACCCCCTTGGACACAAAACCCTGTCAGAAAGTGAAATTTGATAATAGGACCCAGAAATCTTGCCTCTTTGCTTAGTACTCTTGCCTACATCTTGGCCACTGAAAAGTGAGTGTCCATGTCCCTTCTCATCACCCTGGATTAGGAGAGAATTGCCAAGCGGGGCCGGAAACTCGTGGACTATGACAGTGCCCGACACCATCTGGAGACGGTACAGAACACCAAGAAGAAAGATGAGACCAAGACTGCCAAGGTAAGAACAAAACAAAACACAACAAAAACCTGGTTAAACCCTCTTGTTTGCCCACCCCCATAGTGGTAGCAGGTGACTGGGCCAAGATGGGCTTGAGAAATGAGAAAGTCAGCAACCAGTATCCTGAAGGAAAGCCTATTTCTTCTGTCACTGATGGTATAAGGATAGTTAGAGTCTTGAGACTGGGGAGGGCATGGGTCTGGGGAAGGAGAGGCACGGCTCCGGGTAAACCTTGTCCCTGAGAAAATGCAGAGAACAGAAGATGCAGTCTCTAGTCCCAGGTTCTGGATTGATGGGGATTGTCCGGTCTCTTTACCACCTAGGCAGAGGAAGAGTTCAACAAAGCCCAGGCTGTGTTTGAAGACCTGAACCAGGAACTACTGGAGGAGCTTCCGATTCTTTATAACAGGTAATGACTGAGAGTCAGGAACGGGTTGGTCTCCTGACAGCCCAAATATGGCACCTCAAGACAAGAACCCTGGTCCAAGAGGGGCATGCAGTCTCAACCCTGCCACCAACGTGCTGTGTGATAGTAGGCAAGCCGGTCATCTCTCTACCCCAGTTTCTTTATCTGCAATACAGAGACAACCATCCTTGCACTGCCAGCTTTTCTAGGTTTGAAGAAGAGATGCTTTTTGGATAAGGAGAGATCTTGGCAAGCCAAGCGCTGTGATCATGCATACAAGGGGTATTTGCTTTCACACTCAGATGTGTATAGTGTTAAGCAAGCTTCATTTATAAACATCCAGATTTACCTAGAAGACAAATAATGGGATGATTATTTGCATTAATGACGGTGTCTTTGCATCACAGTAGAGAGAAAAGTTTTAGATTTAAATTTCTCACATTTGGCTGGGCTCGGTGGCTCAGCCTGTAATCCCAGCACTTTGAGAGGCTGAGGTGAGTGAATTGCCTGAGCCCGTGGGTTCAAGACCCACCTGGGCAACTTGGTGAGACCTCATCTCTACAATAAATAAAAATAAAAAAAATTAGCCGGGCGTGGTAGCGCGCGCCTGTAGTTCCAGCTACTTGGAAGGCTGAGGCAGAAGGATCACCAGAGCCGAGCAGGTTGAGGCTACAGTGGCCAGGAGCATGCCACTGCACTCCAGTCTGGGCGACAAAGTGAGACTCCAACTCAAAAAAAATAAAATAGAATAAAATAAAAAATTAATTTCCCACATTCAAAGAGAAATCTGAGCATAATCTTCATTTGTATTCTATTTTCATTGTACAAGATATACTTGAATGCTGTTGCATTTCAGAGTATTTTGTATTGTCACTTAATATTAGCCAGTCGGGTTTGGTGGCTCAGCCTTGTAATACCACACCGTGGGAGGCTGAAGTGAGTGGATTGCCTGAGCTCTCAGGTTCGAGACCCGCCGGGGCAACTTGGTGAGACCTCATCTCTACAATAAATCAAAAAACTAGCTGGGCGTGGTAGC